AACGATATATTATACGTATACCTTCTGACCAGCATTTCTGGAGATTCATTTTCGACCTGGATAAGCATTTCTATTTTTTTCTCCTTTATTCAATTATCAAATTCTTCCAGAAGTTATATTTAGCATTTTTCCATAACTCCTAAGAATGATAAATAGTTATTGTTTATAATAAACCAAATTAAAGACACGTTAGAGGAAGTTATGATAAGTCAGGGGGAGTGCTTCCCTCTGGATGGTGAAAGAATTGTTTTGAAAAAAAGTTCCAAAAACAGCTATTTAAAGAAAAGAGTAATATAGGAAAAATCCATCCTCTAATACGAACTATCTAATGTGAAATAAAAACAATTATACCGTGACCAGTACTAGCGGATCCACCCGAAGGGCGCCCCTTTCTCTCCTGGTTGGGAAAAAAATTCCAAAAAGCAGCTATTTAAAGAAAAGTGAAATGAAGGAAAAATTCCTCCTCATAGACGAATTTCCTAATGTATTATATAAAAAAAGTTATTATTATGACCAGCACTGGTGATTTATGTCAGGGGGTCAGTAGTAGAAGCCAGTCCACATAACAAGACTCGAAAGTAATTTTTAGACTAAATGGTCAGGATTATGGATACTTTAACATAGATAGAGGCAGGGGTGGCCATCATCCGCCCTCCCCCCAAGGTCAATGGCGCAAGAACCTATCCCCTCACCTCCCAAGATATTTTATTGCTCACTTTTCTTAAACACAGAGCAAGGAAAAGTCGAATAAAAAAAAAATAGGTCATAAATAATTACATTCGCTGCGTTCTATTCCATGTTTTCCTCTTGACCCTTAGTATGAAACGTTTCGTTCCGAAAATCCATAATCCCGTTGCACCACCCTCAAAAATTCAAAAAAGCCTTTAAACATATTTCCCCTCAAAAATATTGATGGCGCCATAAAACCCTCTTCTGGGCACTCCAGGCTAGAGGGGTCCAACAAGGTGACAGTCTTAGCCCTATTTATTAGGGATTATTTAAACTATTAGGAGAACTGGGATGTAATGTCTCATCAAAGCATGTCACTATTTGATTGTCATTTGGCAGTTCATTGTATACATCTAAGTCGTGGCAGAGACATTCTAAGATTATAGCGACTTATTTAGTTGCAAATAATTAAATAAAAATCTTTGTTGTAATTTTTGGTGAAATGGCCAGCCAAATACAAGAGGAGGTACATATCCGGCATTGCTTTCAGAGTTTCGCAAGAATAGTAACGCATCAGTTGCTACCGAAAATATTTGCGATGTTTATCCAAATTCATTAGACGTTCGTAAATGCAAAAGTTGGTTTTCCAAGTTGAAATCCGGTAATTTTTATCTTTCCGACTCGTATCGATCAGGAAGACCAAAAACGTTAGACGATGAAGTGTTATGGGCGGAAGTCGAAGCAAATCGAGTGTCAGACACTCGAGGAATTGTCAAACACTCTTCATCAACCTGGATTGATTATCCAAGAACATTTGCAACAGGTTGAGAAACAATCATATGCAACTTATTGCTTCATAGGCACAATATAATTGCGTTTTTGATCGCTTGATTACCGGAGATAAAAAATGGATCCTGAATGATAATCCAAAACTCAAAAGGAAGTGGTTCTTTGTGAACCCTGAAAAAAATTAAAAAATTGGGATGGGTAGTGCCTTATCCAACATATTCGCATGAGGTTGCACCATCCCATTTCTATTTGTTCCGATCTTTTCAACACTTTATAAGTGGCAAAAGATTTAAAAATTTGGATGATGTCCAAAATGGCATCTCATTATATTTTGCTCAAAAACTAATTGATTTTTATCGATTCTGTATTGAAAATATGCACACTAAGTGGCAAAAGGTGGTTGATAAAGAAAGTGATTCCATCATTGATTAAAAATAAAAACATTACAGAAAAGGAATGCTAATAAATACCAGCAAAAGCTAGATCCTTCAGGTAGGGAAGGTACAGGAAGATGTTGAGGTGTTTTGTAATGGAGAAAAGATGGAAGTTTTCCTGGACTTCATCAACCTCGGAACAGTTATGAAATGACCTGAGAAAGTAGATTCAGAAATCCTACACAGAATAAGTAAGGCAAACTCAATCTACGACCAGATATGTAATACTGTTATTGGGATGCAAGAGGTGGGCAGAAATGTAAAACTATAGATCTTTAAGTCAGTATACCTGCCTGTATTCCTTTATGGAGCTGAAAACTGGATGCTAACAAATAAACAGGAAAGCAGAGTGACAGCTGCACAAATGAAGTTTCTCTGGAGAATCTCGGGGAGAACAAGAAGAGACTGCATCCGCAATAACAGAATCAGGGAGGAACTGAGTCATCTCACTTAAAACTAAGGATTATACCCCTGACAACAGAAGACCTCAAGGCTGTCCTATCAGGATTAGGTCTACCGTACGTGCAAAAGGAGAGGAAAGGATTTCAGCTAAGCCATTTGAGAAATACTTGCATTCTTTACACATCTTATTTCTTTCTATTTCAACTAATTCTTCTTCCCCTAACTACACCAACTTATTAACGTACGTTTTATGTAATTTTCCTCAAAAATATTAACAAGCGATATTATCCCAGCAGATTGATTGCCCAGGTAGATTGAATTTGTGCTCGGACAAACCACAAATTGTGCTTGAGCATACTATAGGTAATTTGCATAAAAAATAAAACACTATAGCTATTTGCAATGCCAGTTTTAGACATTTGGTCTTTCTCCAGGCAATAATGTCAACTATCCTCAAAAAATTTAATTTATTTCTTAAAATATTTTATATTAAGTAATACATATTTGAATTTATACTTTATTCAATAAACAGTTGTTTTATTAATAACAATTCAATAAACTTAACAAGTGTCGGTGCTCTCGAGCAATTGCCCGGTCTTAAAGCTGCCACTGGCTGCTTGAAATTATTAAAAAATATATTGGAAAGTGATAAAAACAAAAACTTTTTATTGATATAATATGACAAGCTATTATACATTTGTAAAATAACTATAATTGAAATAATATCATTTTGTTAATTCATAAACTATACATTTTTCAGCATATACAATATTTTCCTATGTGTGAAAGACAATTTTTCTAGTAACTAATGGTAATTATTCACAATCAAATTGGAACACATAAAATGTCAATTCGTAAGGTAGGAGGTAAGGGAAGGAAAAACATACATAAAAGATATTATTTTTATTTAAAATAACTCCTGTTAGCTTAAAGATTTTTTTTCCAATGCCCAAGAGGGATTTTATCCATTTTTTAAAGAAAATTTTTGAATCATTAAACACGTGAAATGAAAAATTTCTCTTTCATTTTGAAATATTTTATTTTTTTTTTAAATGTGCCAACGGAATGAAGTCAGCTTAGTATGATAAATGTGATATAACTTCAATTTTTAGACCAGTTAATATATCATATATGTCAGTAAACTTATAATAATAAAAAAATACATATGATAATAGTTGTTCTACCACAGCTACCATATTTATCTGACTTGTATCTAACTAGTTACCATTTCAGAACAATAGTCATTCCATCCAGAACTATTCTAAAATGAAAACAAGATAATAATTTTCATTTCTCGAGTATATTGATTCCAAGCCCAAAAGTTTATTTGAAGAAGGGATAAAAATCTTCATGGGCGTTGGAAGAAATGTTTTTATAATGGGATAGAAATTATTTTTTTAAAAATAATACTTAAAATATTTGTTTTCTTTCATTTGTCTCATACCATAGGATTTTTTTTTCATAGAATATGACGGAGCCTACATTTCATTTGTTCCAGCCCTATAAAATCCAAGCAATATTTATTTTTGCAACTAATAATGGTTTTAAAAAACATTTGGTGGTAAGAATACTAAACTTACAAAACAACATAGAGTGGAATATAAGCAATATTACAATACTGATTATGATAGATTATATCTAAAATAAGTGTACTTAACAAAAAATAATGCTGGAAATTATATTGTCTTGCCTAACAGATAGATTTGTATTAAAAAAGAAAAAACTTCTTTACAAGTTTATCACAGTCCTAGTTTTGATATCCATTTTTCAAGGACATTTACTTAGAAAAGAGAAAGTTTCACATATTTATAATAAAATTGTGCAATACTTACTAAATTAACGTTGATGCAAGCTGATATGTATGTATATATATATAAGGTTTTATGATCCTAGGATTATAAATAATGGTAACAAATCCTCAAGTCATAAAGTGGCATTTATAATTTATAAAAATGAGTATCATACGCATAAATTCATATAAGTGCAAAACTAACAATAAAATAAATCAAAGAATGAAACTCAAAGCAGATCCCACCAGATACACTTAATAAATAAATAAATACCATAAATGCACGGTTTCACTTTCAGTCTTTCTATCTTTGTGATTTTATAACATTAAAAATCAATGAAATGAAACTAAATATAGGAAGACAATTTTAGGTCTAAACAATAGGCCTGGCAAGAAACTTTCTCTCATCATAAAAAAAAAAAAAATTAAAATAAATTAAAATAAAAACAACATAAAAATAACAAACTATTAAATTTCACTAGATTGAATTGCACATTTAGTTATGTGTATCTGTTAAAAATTCTGATTCAAAGCACTTATAGTTATGTGTATCTGTGAAAATTTCTGATTCAAATGAAATATATATTACACAGATACTATGGCGATGGACCAGGATAACATCTATATATTATGTTTATAATATATTCTACACCAGTTAAATAGACTAGTTAAGTATGAACAAGATATAATAACTAAATAAAATTTGAAATATTTACAACATTTAAATAATTGTTATCATTTTAACAGTAACATTGAATATCAATGAAAAAAATGCAAATCTTGACTGATAATAAATAGTAATTACTAAGCTCTACTAACACTTTTTATATACATAATTGCAATAAAATTAATAGTAGTATAAATGAAATTGTAAAGAAAAATTGATTAATATACACTTCATATATTTTTCATTTTTTCTTATTTCAACCATATTTAAAACTTTTTTATTTATCTATTTATTTTTATAAAAATAAAATAGCTGTATTGATAAGCGAAGTTTAAACAAGCCAATGCATGTACATATTAATTTTACAATGTGAGAATAACTAATAAAAGTTATAAGTATTAATAATTAATATTAAACATGTATCATAAAAGATATTTTCAGCCCAAGATAACAAGAAAAATAAATAAAAATATTGTATACCTTAAGGTTTGGAATGAAACTTATGATTAAAATCTTTAGATAAACAGCAAGAAATTATTAGTTACTAATGGTAATAAAATTCATTTTCAACAACTATAATCCATACCACAATTAAGTACACCATAGAATATTTCTAGCAAACATTGCAGCATTTATTTTGAGTATGATACTAAAGGAAACTAAAAATGTTTCTACAAGCAGTGTACTTTGTATAACTATAAAATATAGTAAATAAAATAAAGACAACATGGGCTGTTGTTTTTCAATCAACAATAGGCTGAAGATTAATTATTTCATTATGAAAAATTGGTTGATAAAGTGACAATTAATGACTACTTCTTGCTTCTCAGATTTTAAGTTTAAATCATAAACAATTGTTTGTGAAATTTATTTTTTGAATGAGAAGGGATTAAAAAAAATAAATAAATATTAGTTTTACCAACCATAGTTTCAATATAAAAAATTCTTAATGAAGCAAACAATTCTTTCAATTCTAAATTTAAGACATACTCTTCTTAGATAAAACTCCAAATTGAATTATCAATTAAAAGTTTAATTAATATTGTAGTCAGTCTTTAACCAGAAAACAGTCCTTTACTCTCTTGGTGAATATTATTTTTTTTAAATCTTACAATTATTGGTGCTTTTGTTCAAATTTGTGGTTTAAATAGTGTATCATACTCATCTCAATACACTGTGGAAGTGATATAAATTATAAACGCAATCCAACACGAACATTCACTCCAAACATTCGAAGATATACAATAGATATAAAGTTCTTTGCTGAACATGTGCAATTTATTTATTTAACTGACAAAAACCTTGAGTACAAAAGTTATCTATAACACAATGCTAGTCAAATTTCGCCCATTGCCCAGGAGGCTTTGGGGGAGGAGTTGGATTAGGGAAATCCAGACCATATTCCCTTAACAAATCCATATCTCTATGTGTATCAGTGGAAAAGTAATAGAGTGGATTTGTAAGAGAAGTGGGGGCAAGAGGATCAAAATCTGAATCTGAGTCAAGACGAATTAAATCTTCACAAGATGTTGATTTAACCTGTAATCAAAATCATATTTAATGGAAACATTAAATTTTTATATGATAATTTCGAATTCAATTTTATGAAAATACCCAGCTTGTACTACTTCTGGTTCTTTCCAAACGATGGAGATAATAAATGAGCTTAAATCTTATCCATCCTTTCACCCTTTCCCAACAAGTATTATAGATTATTAAAGTATGGTGGCTTAACTTATACATCCTAATCACTTAACAAGGGGCATCTTGTCTATTCTCCTTAGTCAAACAGATTAGACCAACATAGTGCTTGACTTATAATTGGATGAAAAACGGACCAACATAGCAATAATCAATGAAACCTATCTAAGCCTTGTTAAAATTGTTTGTTCCAGGATCCATTATGTACACACCTGTGATCATGCAGATAAGAGCACTATATGGAACTGGTATAATGATCAGCGCATAAACATTACATGGTAGAACCACCCATAACACAACATAGCTGGGTTCCCGACTCTGTCCAGTGAGAGGTAGAAATCTACTACATGCTCTTCATTATCTTTCATGAGATATAATCTCAATAGGTAATTTGACTTACTGGAATATTTTAATACATAAATGTCCCAATCTAATCGACTTTTATAAAACATAAGGCTTAATAATACTTCCTTCATACCAGTACTTTTATCATTCCTTAGTTCAGTTTGTTAATTATGACAAGACCTCTGCAGCCAAAAGCTCATAAGTAGAAATAAGGATAGAGATTTTTACAGAATATATCTTGAATATGATCTTTCAATTCTTGTATTGCTTAAACAAAAAACAAACTAGAGACAGCAGTTCACACACACAGGCCATTTTGTGAGACGGTTATATGTATTCAAGGGAAACTTTTCAAGATTGCAACACTTACTCTTATTAAATACTTCTTATGTATAAACACAGTGAGGAACTTGACACAAAAGAGGCTGAAGAACCAGTTATACTGGATGTGGAAATAGCTATAGAAAGGCTTAAAACAAAAAAGGGCCCAGGGACGAACAATCTACCATCAGAACTGCTTAAAGATGGGTGGGAAAACGTAAGAGCTAAGTTACTACAATTACTTCAGAAAATGTAGATGGAGGAAAGGATAAAAGAGGCTTGGAATACGAGCCTAATCTGCCCTATCCTAAAGAAAGACTCCTGAATAATCCTGAAAAAAGTATCTATGACACAGGCATGACATTCCTTCCGGTTGCCTACAAGATAATGACCAATATTCTACTTAATCGGATATATCTATAATACGAAAATATAACAGTTGACCACTAAACTGGATTCAAAAGAGGAAGGAGCATACTAGATCTTCATCCTAAAACAAGTACTCAAAAAGTGATGGGAAATAGCTAAGCATGTCTACACCTTATTTATCGAATTCAAAGCAGCCTATGATTTCGTGGACTGTCTTTGGAAAATCATGACTGAACAGTGAGTTCCCAGTAAGATTATGAGATCAACAAAGGTGTCACAAATGCCTCTAAATGTTGATTCCTAATACAAGGAGAAGTATCTGAAGCCTTCAAAGTTCAAACTGGCTTACGTCAGGGAAATGTACTCTCATTGATGTTGTTCAACCTGGTACCGGAGAAGGTGATAAGAACAATATCACATGAAAATGGAGGAGTATACATCAGAATGAATCATAAAATCCTTGGACATGCCGATGATATAGCTGTCCTAGGAAGCAACAAAGAGGTCATTGAGAAACTTGCTAAGATTCTGATAAGAGAAGCAAAGAAGAGCAAAATACCCAAGAGTAGACAAATACAATTACCTGGATTCCACGATAATGTCAATGAATGACCAACAGTCTGAAATAGATCAGTGCATAACAAGCTTTCTTCTCTATTGCAAAAATATTGAAATCCCAAAAAATTTCAAATCAATAGTTCCAAATGCTGTGACAAATCCAGATCTGATATATGGCTGTGCGACATGGACACAAACCAGCATAATATAAAAAAGTATTGAAAGATTTGAGAGAACAATTTTCCTCATGATAACAGGAGTGATCTGGGATCAGAGTACTGATACATGGAGGAGAAATACCAATAAAGAACCGCTTATAGAAACTGGTCAATCAATATCTCATGATATAAAAGCAAAGAGGTTAAAATGGGCAGGGTATGTAGCTCGGAGAAATCCATCTGGAAGGCTCTTCACAACAATGAATGTCTCAATAGTAGGCAAAAGACCACGCGTTAGGCCAAAAAGCAGATTGATAGATTGAATCAACAAAGATGCAATAGAAGTGCATGCATAAAGCTGGAAAGAAATAACTCAAGACAAGTGAAATGGAGCAGAGCAGGCTGATTAAGGCAGCAAAATATTTACATGGTATATAATGCTAACGACGGAGCAGGGGAAAGAAATAACTAAGTGAAAGTAATAACAGACTACAAAACACCAATGAAACTTTCATCAGTAATATTAAATATATCCCAGCAAACATCATCTATGTTTTTCAAAACTGATAAAATAAATTTAAGAATAAAAACAACAACTACACTTACTTTTGTTTGATTAAGATTTCCTAAAAGAAAGACATCATCATCACTTCCTGTAGCACCCCCTTCAGTAGGACGTACCTGTAGAGTAAAATTTCTTTGTAGTAATTCTAATTTAGGCAATCCATTCTCAGCATTAAGTGCATTCCCATATCCATACCCTCTCAAGGAAGTTAAATCATACAAAAATATACATAACACTTCTATTCAAAATTTTCATAATTAATAAGATTTTTTGTCACATTTAATTTGGACCTTTATCAAAGTCTTTAATAGAAATTTTATCAAAAATAAAAAAGATTAGACCTGCAAGGCTTTAGACTTGCAACTTACCACATGCATCAGGCAAATGATACTAAAAATCCAGCCAGAATATCAAATTGCAATGGAAACTAGAGTCAGGAATAGACTGTAAGCCTAAGAAGCCAAAAAGATAAATAATAAAATTAGATTTTGAAAAATCTTAAATTTCTCTATTACATAAAAATGTTTTTAGTGATGGAGTTTGAACGTGCTCTTTGAACACTATTATAAATGTCCTTGATTGTGACAGATTGTAATATCTCAATAAATATGTTAAAAAAAAAAAAAAGTGGCCGTGTAATATATTATACGGTGGGCCAGACCCCCATACCGTGCACCTCCTCCCCCCCACATCCCTATAAATTGCATATCATTGTGTTCCTTGCAACTATTTATTAAAAAAAAGCCAATGTTCCCACAAAAAAAAGTGAATGCACTGCCCCAAATTGGCGTCCAAACATGGCGGACTGAGGACTTTGACTTTAGTTAGTTTTTTGGTCACTGAGAATCAGCATTTGGCTTAATTTCATCATAGTTGGTCTTTTATTAAAGCTGAATAGTTAGAGAAAAATAAAACATGAAAAAATATTTAAAAATAATTGGATTAGGCAATAAAAACACCAGCAATCAATTTAAAAAAAAAAAAATCAAGTTGAAAATCTTCATCCAGAAGTTTGTTAAAATTTTTACAATAGAGACCTTCTTAAATGACCTCTCTATAGAATAAAGGAAATTAAGTTAAAAAAAAATAACAATAAATTTAAAAAAAAAATTGTTTCATTTTTTTTGGACAGTTAAATTATTGTTTTAATATTTGTTCGTTAATACAATCAATATAATTTACCAAAACCGTTATTATAGCACTATAACAAAGCCATTTACGAGTACTGAACTGGCGTGGTAGAAGCCTATAGGCACCAACGCCAGTACCGCTTTTCTGCCGCTTAAGTGCATTTTCTACGAAACTGTTTCAAATATCTTAAATTATAATTAGTGTTTTAGAAAGAGAAATATATTCTCTAGATGGTTTATTTCAGCATGGTTGGCATTATTGTTGGCCGTTTAATTACACACGACGCTTGATTTTCAACTTAAATTTTTTTTGTTAAAAAATATTGACTTTACTGGTGTTTTTTATTGCTTAATCCAATTATTTTAAAATATTTTTTCATGGTTTATTATTCTCTGACTATTCAGCTTTAATAAAAGACCAACTATGATGAAATTAAGCCAAATGCTGATTCTGAATGACCAACAAACTAACTAAAGTCAAAGTCGTCAGTTCGCCATGTTTGGACGCCATTTTGGGGTAGTGCGTTCACTTTTTTTTGTGGGAACATTGGCTTTTTTTTAATAAATAGTTACAAGGAACACAACGATATGCAATTTATAGGGATGTGGGGGGGAGGAGGTGCACGGTAGGAGGGTCTGGCACACGGACTATATGTGTGAGCTCCATTAACCTCCTACGATCCTAATACAAAAATAAAGATTTTAGACCTGAAATTTGGATGGGAAATGTTAGTTCGAGTAATCACCATAGGAGAGCAACACTATCGAGCCTAGAGGACAGGGCTGAAAAGATGAGCTCTTGTAAACAACCCTCCTAACAGTGAATAGAGATTTCCACTCTGATTTCTTGGAAAAATATTGTTTTTATTAATTATTATTATTATTTATTAAATTATATTGGTTAATTTAACAGTTAATAGTTAATAGAATATAACTACAGAATATATGTAAACTACAACTATACAAGTTGAGCAATGAGTAATACAATTAGATGGACAGTTATATAATTTGTAAAATTGGGGTTGATCCGCCGTTAGGTGGACAGTGGGTACTCCTAAATGGGTCAGCATTTAGCTGAACAATGCATTGATTTAAATTAAATTCAACTTAAGTTGAGTAAACTAAAAAACTAAACAGTAACATACCATTGTAACTGACTTTAAGGAATAGATAAACATAACAGAAACAAGTTGTTAAAAACTAATTATTAATTATTAAGAAATAAATTAACAAATCATACTTTTACCACAGTGTTATGCACTCGTAGAATAAAAAATTTACCAGGCTCTCAAGAGAATGAATCAAAGAAACTAGTCCACCTTGTGTTGATTACAGTGTGTTTCATGGTGAACTAGACATTATATATTCAAACAACCTTAAGATTAGCACAAACTGTGGTCTGAGCAACGGGAATGCACTTATCTGCCCCCTTTTAATTTTTTTTATGGGGTTAGTTAGTTACGGGGCTTATAATTCATTGACACATAAAATTCAAATTTAGCTGAAGTGAAAAAAAATGTTCATTAACATAAAAAATAAATAAATTTTTAAAAAATACAAATACATTAATAATTACCATACTACTATCAGAGAGGGAACATTTATTGAATAAAACATCTTGTAAATCTCCCATGAGATCCAAATTAATAGGAGAAAATTCAAAATCTGCTTGTTCAGGTGAAGATGGGCCTAAAGTTGTGTATCCAGTAGATGTTCCACTAAGAAAAAAAAAAGATAAATATTATTGGGCAAAAAAATTAATTTTTATAAAGATACATAAATATCTTCTTGAGTAAAGTAACAATGAGGAAAATATAAAACAATACAACTTCACTTACTAGACAACTTAAATAATTAAATTTACGCTTAAACAGAGCCAGTTAATATTGAATTATATAAATCTATGATAGTGGCTAAGCTTATTACATATTATATGAAACTGTAAACATTGCTTTTAACAATGCAATGTATTACATATTTTTGATTTGTTAAGCTTAAAAATAATTGTATAAGTTTCTACTTGGCTTGGACACACACACCAACACCTAAAGACCCAAGACCCAACATCTCAAAACTTGAACCTCAAAATGTGTATATCCATTGAAAACTCGGATTTCAAATTTTTCATGATTGCAACTTTTCCTTATAGCCCTGGAGCCTAAAAATCGACCTGATCGCAGGCGAAGGTTTGATTGGAAATTACAAAAGTGTATGTTATTCTGAATAAAAAGAGCCCTGTCTGTCGTTCCAGAGCTGCTGCTTTCTAAAATGGCAGCTGATTTAAAGAATATTAGGCCAGTAATTTGAGGATCGAAACAGGGAATTCATTGCAAGAAATGTGACAAAAGTTTTTATTTTTTTAACTTGTAATTTGGGTTTAGACAAGTAAAAAACAAAATTGCTAATACGTGCCACCAAAAACTTTTTACAGCCAAAAAAGTCAGAATTTTTTTATATTTTTTTACCAATAACTCCTAAACGATGCATCAAAACGAAAAATGTACTCATAAATAAACTAAAGAATGTTAAATTGTGTGTCAAAGGAATACTAAACTTTATAATTTGGGTACGTTGTAAGGTATAAAACACCGGTCAACCAACGCTGATTTTTTTACCAAATTTGTCATTTTACAAAAAAAAATGTCAGCACTCAGTGGACACAGAATTTTATGCTCTACAACTTTGATTCTATGTGTTTTTCCTCTTAGGGAACTAATTTCCAAGTTACAGGGCCATTTATAGTAATTTGTCTCAGTTTTTGACAAATTGGTAAAAATCAGTGTAGGTTGACCATGGTTTTATATCTTACAAAGTACCTGAATTATAAAGTTTATGGCTCCAGGGCTATTACATGAAAGTAAAAAAATTAATAAGGAAAAGTTTAAGAAGATAATAATTTAATTTATTCAAGGAAGTTATACTTAAATACGTAAGGTTTTAGATAAACAATTTATTCCTTAATAAACTTATTACTATTAATTTTGTGTAGTTTCAAAGCATTTCCTTCATCCCTAGAAATTTATTTTTCAATATTCTATTACTGATATATCTGTTCTTTTTTTAATGATGTCTATAATTTAAGGAAGTTATGGAAGAGCTCAAATTTTAGTTCGGTTGATGTTCAATTCTGAAGAGAGGAGTAAATTTTGTGCCTATTTTTCAAGGAAAAAATATATAAGTTATTTAATTCCATATTACAAGATTGTAAACTAAACGATAATTTTCAATTTTTTTATCAACCTCATACTGGATTACTGGTTCAGTTCCTCCCATTTTTGGAAAAGTGTCCTTGTTTAATAAACTTTAAATCCATGTGAATTAAATTAAGGGTTTATTTGAGAATGAATAGATTCTTTTATTTCATTTAAATTGTTCAAAAAGGATTAATTAAGAATAAAACCTATTAGATGATTTCCTTATTTATTAAGCCCATTACCTCCACTTTTATCTTCCTAGTGCTTCCTTTATTTATGTGAACTTCAATAACTAGAAACAATAACCCATAATTAGAGACCAGATTTTTGTGCAGAAAAAATTTGAAAAATGTGCAATTACTAAAATGTCATTAAATAACATTATCAAGTTAGAATTCAGAAGAAAACATAACATTTTCGGAGAAAGAGCTAATTGAGTTTATAAAATGTATAGGAGATGAATGTGGTCAATTAAAACCAACTTAAAGGGAAATTAGACAGTTGCTAATTATAAGAAAGAACATTTTCAGAAAAATAATGAACAGAGGCCTTACGATACCAACTACTAGCAAGATAATTCAGATTACCCACATTCTATCATCTAAAATGGTGGATGTGAAGATTTACTATACAGCTAGCAATGCATCTTCTATTAGATGGTGTTATATACTTCTGGCTTAACATTCAAGGACTAATAATTTCTGCAAAAGAAAGAAACTCTATTGTCCGAAATTAATCCTGGAACTCAAGAGATTCAGAACCAATCCTCTATGCTAGAATTAGATTTTTAATGTCATTACTAAATTTGTCTTACAAATTGACAATTACAAAATGGCAAGCAAGAGAGAAAAGGATAAATTCAAAAAGCATTTAGAGATAAATGGGCCTTGTAGCAGACATACCAAATGCAGAGTTAAGGAACACTAATGTTAAGATTATTTTATTCCTTAAGCATCATCTCAAATCACAGATTAAGAGAAAAACTAAATTCACAAATTCAAAGTGATAGAACCACTATAGAATGTCTTTTTTTAAAAGTAATATTTAATGTTTTTACTTTCTTCAGTGAGCTAGAATAAGTGAAAATGAATTATAAAATAGAACATTGGTCAAGGAGAAATAAACTTAGATCTGCTACCTACTCCATTCATCATTCCACACTCTTTCCGTCAGGTAAGCGAATTACGCAACGCATTGTTTTACTTTAACATGAAGTATTTTATTTAAATAACCTTTTATCATTTAATTCTATTTAAAAAAAATAATTGAGTTTAATTTAAATTAAAAAAAAAATACCAACATAAGTTTTTCTTTGTTTTATCAGATTGGCATATTTGCTTAAGTATGTAACAATGACATTTTACAATTTTTCCGGAAAGTCTTTTTTATTTATTTGTTATAATCTGTAAAATAAATTTTTTCTGTCTAATGATTGGCTATTTTGTTTCTTCATAAAAAATTTAATATATCTAGTTAATTATACCTACCTCAGATTTTGGCAATTGTTTTGGCCAGGCATGTTTTTGTACAGTATGTGTATCTCTATTCTTCATAAGGAATAAATTCACAGAATAAACTTTGTTTTCAATTCTACTTACCTATTTTACTGAATTGAAAAGACAAACAATAAAATGATTCAGAATAGATTGTTTTCAATTTAGGACTATAGTCTCAAATATTTTTTGATTACTTGAAAAACTAATAAAAAGTGAACTGGTTTGATGTCTATGGGAACTAGCCCAGCATCGCACTATCTTTATATATTATTTCTCCAAGGTTTTTTTTTTTTTTTTTTTTGTAAACCAATTATATCACTGATAATTTTAAAAGTTTCTAAATTCCATAGGAGAAAAAATCATCGAAATCGGACTATTATAAGATCCTACTGGAATTCGTAGGTACATTACTTTCAATAATGAACCATTGTAATCGACCAAGTACAAATAATTAATTCCATCCTCTAATGGTAATGATAAAATATTTCATTTACTTGTTTCTATATTATATAACCATTTGTTCACTGAAATTGTGAATTATTTACATGGCATAATGCTAACTCATATATTTTATTCTGCCACAAATTGGGAAGATCTTGAGATAGATAAGGAAATTAATCTAGATGAACTGAAAATTATGCTGGCAAAGGCAAATAATGATTAAGTGCCAGGTCTCGATCCTGTTCCTCAATGAATTCTTCAAAAATTAACCAGAATGTGTTCTGTTACAAATTGTTGATGTATTAAAGGATATTTTATTAAAGTAATGGATTTTATTTAAATTCTGCATAGGTCACCTGAGGATAATCCTAGGATCTTGACATTATTATTATGAAAGTATTATAATTATAAGCATTAGAGGCTTCATAGTTTCATATGCCCATATATGAAGAGAGAGAGAGACTGAGAGACACTTTTTAAAAAGTTTTTTGGTACTATCTTATAAAAATTTAAAAAAATAATCATTTTTTATTATGATCACAATCTATTTAAAAAATAAAAACCATTTTGAGATCGTTTCTAGCATTACAATAATCACTGTACATAGTGATTATTGTAAATTATGGTAATTTATTTTTATATATCTTTCTTTAGGAGTTTAAATTTAATTTTAATTATATCATTATTTTAATTTTGTAAATAACCAAATATGAATATATTCTTTATTTTTAATTTATTCCACTATATATTTTACATATTTATTAATATATTTTAACACTATTTAAGTTAATAATATATAATTTTTTTTACAAATTTGTAACATATTTTATTATAATAAACAATAAATGAGGAACTTATCTAAACAGTAGATTTACACTAAATGTATCAGTGGACTGTTTGAACCTTGTATGGTGTGTTTATACCAGAGTACCATTGCTGATAACATGAGTTTATGATATGTCAATCTGTAATTGCTCTGAAAAATGTCAATAACATTTGCTATTGTCATTTGCTGATAACATTAGAATTCAATTTTTTTTTTCTTTTTTATATAAATGAAGTTAAATTAAATTAAGAATATTTAATTTAATCATGCACACCTAATTCTTCTCATTGCTATCCTTTAAATTATTGTCAAGTTTTTATTATACTACATATATTTTGCCAAATAACAAAATTGTATACTGTTTTTTACCCAAATGAATAAAAATTATGAAGATAAATAGTAGATCTTAATTGTAACAGAAAAAAATAGTTAAGGCTGTAGACTTCTTCAGGGCAAGTGATGAGTAAATGTATTATTATGTATATATAAAAACACATTTTTAAAAGTAGTCACTTTTTTTTTAATAGAAAAGCAATAACTAAAAATTATTAATGGTAAATAATTTCCAATAGCAGCAGCAAAAACAAGATACAATTTTCTTTAAAGAGATGTAGAATATGTCTTCAAGCTTTCTTCATTCATTTGGGGTGTTCAAGCAGTTATATTACATTCACTTTTGGTTTTCATAAAATCATTGATTATTAACAATTTTTTTTCAGCCTCCTTTCTCCAGATACCCCACCCACTTTTACAAAAATAAGGCTAATTAATATGATTTAATTTTACATGAATTAAGTAAAGGTATGTTATAGAATAAGGAGGATATTGATTTCTGTGCTGCAAAATAGTAACAAGACATGAAATTCTCTATCCTCAAACTTCAAATGTTTTCAGTAAAAAAATTACGATAAACGATTAAACAGTTTCTGTTTTATTTTCTTCATGTTATTGTTTTTTTCTGTGATCTCAGATGTATTGTAATAAATTAATTACTGAAATACATTTTTATTTTTTTAAAAATTGTAAAATTAAATATTCCATGTGGGTATCACAATTATAATTTTGTATTTCAAAATATCTTTATAATTTATTTCTCAAAATTATTATTATTTTTTTTTTTTCAGTACACCATACATTCATTAAAAATTCAACAAAACCAATGATCGAGGCTTTATTCTGAAGATTTCCTTCGATGCTAATGCCAAAAAATAATGTATCTCCCAGAAAAAAACTGTAAAAAGTATTAAGGAAAGAACACTTATTTGTAAGCAATTTATCAGTGACAAACATAATAATTTAAAAGGTGATTCGATATCAAGCGAGAAAAAAAAACACATAAAAATTGGACCATTATTAGCAAAGACACAATCTGCTGGGCATTGTATACCAATTTTGGTTTGTTATATTTTGTAATGAACCTTTGTAATAATTCAAGGAAAAAAAATTAACCCTTCCTCAATATTTGATATTTTACATTTGAAGATTCATATAATATAAAAATTGAACTAACAAAAATCTGTCCTAGAAAAAAGCATTCAGTTGTATCACATAGTAACTATTTTTATAAAATATTAACACATTTAATATTATCGTTATCAGAAATATTAAGTAATATAAATATAATTTATTAAAGTTGAAGTTAATTTGTTATACCCATGTTAGATAATTTATTTTACATTTTTTCATAAATACAAAGTGTATATTACTTAATTTATTAAAACAGAAAAATAAATAAAATCTTTGTAAAAATCGATTATATGTTTTACAGAAAATACTGGTAGTTTGAGGTGAAGAAAATTCACATTTTGTTATCAAAATCTAAAATAGTATAGCCCATCTCTAATAAGATTTTTTAAAAATTTAAACTGAAAATTCAGACTTTCAACCTTCTTTTATGAGGATAAAATTTATGTATATTCAAATTTAAGAGAAAGCCAGGTTGATAATATCTAGGATCCCTTGGCCATTATAAGTAGCATCCTTTTACTGTTTCTTATATTCTTTTAAATCCATTGTTAACATTTCCCTCCTCATCTTTAGAACATTACTAATTGACCTTATTATTTATTAAATATATATATTTTTTTTAAATTTATTTATTACCAGATCGGCCTGGTGGGCCTTACATGGTTGTTGTAACAATTTGATGATTTTTAACAATATCAAATATATGATATCTTTAAAGTCACTTCTTTAAAATGTTACATACTGGATTGATATATAATTGCCAAGTGACCCTAGAAAATAATATTGTAAAACTACAAAAAAATTTGTGCAAAATTAATATTGTAAAACAATAACTAATTAAAAATTAGGACATACATATATAATATAATAAAAACTTGACAGTAATTAAAAGGATACATTTAAATAATAATTTTATTTCCAATATATGTAATAGAATCTAATATTGCACTGCTGTAAAAAAACTAATAATGTCAATAACATTTTCCTATTGACCGAATTAAATAGTAGGCACTAAAATTTCAATAACACTTGAATTCCTAACCTGATAGTATAATAATAGGGATTAAATAGTGAATATCATGGATTTTAATACAGACATACTAGTCAGAAAAAAAACAAGAATAGGAAGCATATTTAAAAACATTTTCTATACTTTGACTCAACAAAAAATGCTCATACCAAGAATTCTAGAATTTACTTCTGTTTCTAAAAACTAAATGATTAGATCCCGTCACATCACAACAGTATGAAACCATTTGGGGTCAGGTGTACAGTAATAATTGAGGTTGCTTAGAAAATAAAAAAAATTTTTTATTAAAACAACAAAGTTCTCATTTCAAAAAAATGTATGTAGTAGTTTTGTATTAAAATTAACATTGAATTAAGAAATAATAAAGGAATAATACAAACCCCACTTGGACGTCCCCATAAGAAAAGTCGTTATTAGTCGAAAAGTCAAAGTAAGTTTTAAAATAAATCAAAATAAAAAATAGTAAATGATGAAATCATTCATTTTTATGAAATCATTTTTTTAAAATGTTTTGATAGCTCAATATTTTATCTTTATTACCTTATTTTACTTTTTGGTTGCATATTATACTGAATATTATCATGCTTTTGAAGACATATTATGCTTTTTTGCATATTTTAATGTTTTTTGTTGCATATAAATTTGGACGCTAGGTATAACAATAATGACGAACATGAATGTAAACTTTTGCTAAGTAGCAATGTTGCTTCAGTCTATTCGCACATTTATAGATAAAACATTTCTCCAAACAGATCCTCGTACATATGCTGTACAACCATATTGTTTCTTAGTATTATTATTAGTGTAATGAAAAACACTGAAACTCAAGCACACAAAGAAAATAATGTTTTCTTTAAGTAAAATATTCATTTAAGTAAAACAATAGCTGAAAATGTACAAAAATATCTTTTAAAGATGACAGGCAATGCATGATTGCGAATGTAGAATCAAAATAAATTTCAATTTGGAGATCAGTATCATTCACCTTGACGGATTCCCAAGTAACAAATTATCAGAAAAAAACATGTTTGTAATGTGTAATTTTAAAGTCCAAAGAAATCTTCTATTTTCACAAGGTTTGTCAATATGTCGACAGGCTGTGACAACAGAAGGGAGGAGGGAGCTGGGTGGCCGAGCAAGCTTGTTGCCTGGCAATCCGGATAGAAAAGATAATGTGATAAAATAATATTGAGTTTGTGTCCCAGGTGCTCTCACCCCCTGGCCCGGGAAACCCCCTATAGCCTAAAAGGCGAGGAAGGGGAGGAAAAAAAGAAACAAACAAACAACAGGAGGGTTAGGAAAAATATTAGATATATAAATTCAATCTTAAATTATTATTTAATAGCTAAACCCTGTATCAATTTTACAACTCTTGCATTTGTTCATATATTCTTTACATGCTGAAGAGATCAAATGACTTTAGACCATCTCATTTCACATCTGCATCTGTCTATAATAAAAGTTTTTTTTGTTATTATATTTAAAAAGCAAACACAATTTTTGATAAAAATTTTAAAAATAAAATGGAATGAAAAAATAAATGATTTATTTCTTCAGCAGTATGCATTTCAATTGATGAGCATGAGTTCGATAAACAAAATATTTTAAAGAAAAAGATCAATTTACAATAAGTACATTAATATGATTATATGCAAAGACTAAACCACAGATTAGTTTTAAGCAAATTATTTTCGCTATTATAAGTTAATTATAAGTTTTTAACAATAACTTAACAAAGAATAAAGTATTAAAAATAAAATATATGTTTCAGCAATACAATCATGTAGATAGAAAGTTTATATTATCTTACGTTATATCAGATGTTCTTCTGGCATTGAGTTCTGCTCTTCGACTGCTTCCACTAGCCTTCTCATCATTGCCACCACTTCCCTTCAGCTTTGTTTTGATGCCTTTATACGCTTTCCCAACATCTCTACTCCTTTCCTTAACCTGGAACACAGAGACAAAGAAAAAAATGTAATCTGCATGTAAAAATCTGATTTAAAAAATTCCTCAAATTACTAATTGATTTAATTTTGTAAAAAAAACAACAGAAAACAGCACTGTGACTGATTATATGATGGAATACTAATAGTAATAATAAAACTTTGAATCACACTGTTCCTCCTTCAGGTTTTATCTCATGTACTTTGACATATATATATCACTACAATGGTTTGCCTATAAAATTAATTTAATGTTTCTTTCCAATTCCATTTAGTTATTTTTATTTTATTGTTTTTAGCAGCTATATTGCAATATTATGTCAATATTGCTCATCTGCTTTCTTTAATATCTCTTTATAACTATGTATATACTTGTCTTATTATTTATTTTTTATTGGCCAGATTTAATGTTACTTTATATGAACAATATTGTTATTCTTAAGTGACTTTGCTCTAGAATAAATAAGACAAATAAGTATGTATCATTTTAGAGTAGTCTCTTCTTCTTTGAATTCATTTCTTGTTAAGTTCATAAGACTATCATAATAACTGGTAGAGTCCTGCATTTATTATATTCAGTTATGGTTTGTGTTACTTGTCTTCCTTAAGTACTGACCATGCCTTATTGTTTACATCTTAAACTACTGTTAATCCTTGCACCCATCCTTTCCTACTACTGGTTCTTGTCCAATCTAATGATACACACAAGTTTCTTCTCTTTTGTTTATAATTTTCCCTGTCACTACTTTTTTTGTGCTAAACGATCTCAGATATGGATCTCAGTTTTGGAGAATTCGACCCTAAACTCACGAGTGACGGAGCTTGAAATAAAGCTAAACAGATCTGAGCAACAGCATCTGGTTAAAACCGCAGAGATTAGAGAAATTCCGGTGAGACCTGGTGAAACTCCAATGGGCCTAGTGGAGAGTGTGGGCGCAGGGCTGGGGCTAAGCCTAAAAAGGGAAGATGTGGACAGCATAGAGAGGATCAGAACTCGGCAAGATAACACTCCTGGTTCACTATTGGTCAGATTTGTTTGACAAACGTTAAGAGATGAGCTGATTCATAAACAAAAAGTGGTAAGAGATTTATCTACTCATCACATGGGTTGGCAGGAGAACGATAATCACAAAATTTTCATCGGAGAAGCGATGACCTTGACCAACAGGCTCCTGTACTGGCTTGCAAGACAGAAGAGAGTGGCTGGAAAAACAAAATACGTCTGGTTTGGTGATGGCAAAGTGAAATATAGACGAACTGATGGTCAGCCTGTAGTTGTCATAAATCCACCTTCTGACCATGATGTCTTCACTTGACTTCTCTGCTCTCGTTCCTTCAACCCACCACCTCATTTTCTAGCAACTTTCTTCTATTTACTTAACTGTTATAAGTTTAATATTTCTTTCAATTTCGTTTATGTGTATATTACAGCCAATTTTATTATTTTTATTAGTATTATTGCTCATTTTTTGCCAGAGTATATTTTCGTTTCTGTTTGTATGGATCCACTGTTTTCTTGTTTCTTATCTCCATTGACTATAGGATACTATCTAGATTATTTTTTCTACCTATTTTTTCTAGTTTCTACTTTTCAATACTTTTGGTATTTATGTTTCAGCATCTACAGTGTATCTCAGATCAATCCAACCTAATTATTTCCATATCTCTTGTCCCTCCTACCGATTCACTATCCCAATCTACCATCTCTTATGGCTAATGTCTTATTATCCTGTCATGTCAACGCACAGTCACTTTTAGCCACATAGATGAATTCCATGACTTCTTCTTCCACAACTTCTACCACCTAATTGCTGTCTCAGAATCTTGGTTAAAACCCATGGTCACATCCTCTCAATTTTCACTCCCTAACTAAACCCTACTCCGTCACGATAGAGAAAATAGAATCGGAGGTGGAGTAGCCGTTTTCATCCATGATAGCCTGAAATCCAAAATCCTTGCCTTGTCTCCTCTCTCCTTCTCCCCACATACCGAATATCTTTTTGCTGAAATATCCATCTCCTCACATTCATTGCTCATTGTTGTCATCTACCGACCTCCTAGAATCCCCTTTGATGAAACACTCGAGACCATCCTCTATGAACTGAGCCCTCCCTACTCTAATATTGCTCTTTTCGGAGATTTCAATACCAACCTACTATTTCCTTCCTGTGACCAAGCCTATTTATCAAACCTCCTCTACTCTCTTAATCTGTATATAGTTCAGTACAACCCTACCCATCACACCCAATACTCAGACTCTTGGCTCAATCTTTGCATCATTGACTCTCCTGATAAACTCCTCGCCTCATCACAGCACCCGTTTCCATTTTGTCTGCTCACGATCTCATACAGATTTCCTATAACCTTGCTGTTCCTCTATTTAGTCCCCGATCTGTATCTTTCAGAAACATTAATCTCCTATCATCCGAAACTTTGATGCCCGATCTTGACGCAATCCAATGGGACACCATATACTCTTTTAACACCGTTGATTTTATGGTAGAAACCTTAACCAATCAACTGCACATTATCCTAAACCGTCATGCTCCTCTTAAAGTCAGGACAATCAAGTATCCCCCAGCCTCCTGGTTGATTGCGATAAAAAATTGTATCAAACGAAGAGATGCAGCAAGACGAAGGTTTAAGCGCACTCGACTCCCGATGACTACATGAATTTCAAGCTGCTTCGAAACAGTACGCAATCCATGATACGCCGTGCCAAATCCCATTACTACCAACAATCCTTATCCAGCACACCAAACTCTAAAGCTATGTGGGCAATCCTCCGTAAATTATCCTTAGGCAAATCCATCCAAACCCAGACAACCTCTATTTCAACTGACATACTCAACACTCATTTTGTCTCCTGCTAATCCGATCCCTCTGCCCAAGCATCAGCTCCACCCCTCTTACATCCTTCCTTTAATCCCAATCATTTTTTTCTTTTCACATATTACCCCTCAAGACCTCCATAAATCCATCTGTAAATCCCAAACCAAAGATTTCGGACCAGATAATATACCAGTTAAATTAATTAAATCCTCACTTCCATCCATTTTCCCAGTCCTTTATCATATTTATAATTTCTCACTACAAAGTTCCACTTTTCCCAGCACCTGGAAAACCGCTCTTGTTCGTCCCCAGAACAAAATCTCTAACCCCACAACCCCGAATGATTACCGTCCAATTTCTCTGTTATCTAACGTTTCCAAACCTTTAGAACGAATAGTACAATCTCAACTATCCCAATATCTCGAACAAAATAAACATTTGAACTGTTTCCAGTCTGGCTTTATACCAGACTACTCCACTCATTCTGTCCTCATTAAAATCTCCCTAGATCTCCACACAGCCATAGATCAACAGAAACTCAGCATCCTGACCCTTCTCGATTTCTCTAAAGTATTCGACTCAGTTGACCGTAATATCCTCCTAACCAAACTTTAAAATATTTCCTTATCATCTAGTACCCTAAAGTGGTTCCAATCCTTTCTCACCGATCGCTCCCAGTACGTTGTAGTTCCAAATAACACTCAATCAATGTCCCTACCTCTGTCCAGAGGCGTCCCACAAGATTCCTCATTATCCCCCACCCTCTTTTCCATCTATATCAATGATCTCTCTTCCTCTATCATACATTGTCGATATCACCTATACGCCGATGACGTCCAAATTTATCTTTCCTTCAACCCAACAGATTCCTCTAATGCCATCCTGAAACTGCAACAAGACATCAACAGAATATGAGCATGGGCAAATCTTAATAAGCTGACATTAAATACAGAGAAGAAAAAAGCCATCCTGATCGGATCCCCCTCACTCCTCAAATCCATCTCAGCACCTCCTAATCTTCTTCTGAACAACTCGCCTATCTCCTTCCATACCACCGTTAAAAACTTAGGTGTTAACCTCGATCAAAGCCTCTCTTGGAAACCACACATCTCCCAAATTTTCCGCCGTACCATATCCATCCTGAAACAGTTTAACCATCTACGTTATCTTCTTCCGTTCAAAACCTATCAACTCCTGGTCTCCTCTCTTGTTTTTTCCCACTTCGACTATGGCTGCATGGTGTATGGTGGACTCTCGGGAGAACTCGAAGCTAAACTTAAACGTCTAATGAATTGCTCAATCCGATTTATCTTCGGGATCTCAAGGGATACGCATATTACCCAGTTCTATACCAAGTTAAAGTGGCTTTATCCGTCCTACTGCTGTCAATATTTCCTTGCTACCTTCCTATACCAAGCCATTAGAATACGGTGACCTGTCTATATTCTACAGATCCTACAATTCAAACACTACTTTCAATCCCGTCCCACCAGATCCCGTGCGTCCGACCTCTATCCTCCTCCTCACCGAACTGCTGCGTTTGATAAATCCTTTTTAATACAAGTTGTCTCCCTCTGGAACTCTATACCTTCAGATATTCGACACGAAAAACCAATATCCTCTTTCAAATCTCTCCTCTTCAAACACCTACTCCATTCTCAATCCGATTGATCACGAAATGCACTTAAAAACCTAAGCTGTAAAAACCTCGAAGTACGCCCAGATACTCTGATTATTTTGTGATTCATCTATATTTCGTTTATTTAATTACTTTCTCTGTATATTTTATATTTACACGTATTTATATATTTTTATTATTCATAATGTTATTGTATTCATAATCAAACTGTAAATATTAAATTGTATTTTATGGACACTCCAAAATATTAATATATATTCTGTATTTGTAACTTATTCTAAAGGGACACTAGTCCCTTCTGTTTAGTTTTCTACGTCTTCTGTTAGCCATTCCATACTTTTTATTAGATGTCTTTTCTTTCTTTTGTCCTCAGAATTTCAAAGGGAATCACATATTTCATAACTAAACAGTTTTCTCAATTAAATTTGTTAAGCAATTCCTTTATCCTTTGTTGAACAACATTCTGATACCTTCATCATATAATAGCTACAATTTTAAGACATCTTCCTCTTCCCATCTTTTTCTTCATGCTT